AATTGTATATAATGTTAAAACTGTGTAGGACTGTCTCAAGTGGAATAATACTCTGGAGCTTCCTGATATGTTAACTGTGAGGTTCTGATATGTGCAGATAAGGTTCAAAAACTGGGTTTTGTGTCTGGTTGTATGTCTTCCGTTCTGTGGAACAAATTCCCCTTTTTCCTGCGTGCTCTTTTCCTGCGTACTTCCCTGTGTGCTCCTAAATATGCCTCACAGTGTTTCAGAACCCCTGGAAAAGATTTCAGAGATGTCGGGAGATGCAGGAAGGAGAAAAAGTCAAGGAAAATTCCCTTGTGCAAGCAGAAGTCCACTTGTATGATGTTGGATTAAATCTGTATTGTTTAGGATTAGAATTTTGATATGTGGTCTTTGGATATGGGCCTTCTGTGACAAGGCAATTTCCCCCACATCCCAACTACCTGTTGAAGACGACTGCAAATTTCTCTGCAGTCTTTATTATGGAATATAATTACATTACATGTTTCAAATGGTTGAGTCTACTTCCTGCCAGTTCCATAATAGTCTGTGTATGCAGGGTCAGTTTTTAGGTATGATGCAAAACTTACAAATTTAACTGGATTCAATTACAGCAATCTATCTTAGGTTTACAGATGTTTCTTTGAACCTGATATGTGCATATTCTGTTGCTATAAGACATTTTATCTGTGCAGAACTAGGGAAATTCATCCAAAAGCTAGTCAACATGTGCTAAGAAAAAAAAAGGAGGCACTAGGCACTTTAGCAAGTGTCCAGAAAGGTCTCCATGGTTGTATCGGTACATCCAAGTACCATATTACCTACTTCTGCTTTAGCCTGTTTTGCTTATTTGTAAACTTCTGTGCCACAACCTATAGCCTAATTCAGGGGTTTCTGGGTAATGTATATCACAATGTATAGGAGCAGAGTCTGCTTCCCTTCAGCTTGCAGTCTCAGCAGTTGGAGCCAAGTATTGTTTTTGGAAGGAATCAGCAAAGCAACTAAATGTTTCTTTAGTTAGTGGATAAGACTGGGTTGACTTCTCCCTTACCATCATGTCCCTCCACCCACAGAAAGGCAGTACAGCCTTCCACTGAAACTTGATATACTGGACAGTAATGGAATTGCATATTCTTTTTTTTGTTTCCAGGTGACATATGGAGATATTCCAGATATTTATCTCTGGTCAAGTCTGAAAAGTTTGCATAGGATGATCCATCTGTCTCATAACTACTAGATGCAATTTAAATTCTGCAGGAGTTAATAGGGAAGCCACAGTTAACTTGAATGATTTTGGATTATCTCCATTCTGAAGCCTTTTTGAAGTTTCTTTTTAAAATTTAGTGGAATATTTTTTAACTTCATGAGATGCAATTCTACTCACATTTACCTGAGAAGAACTCACATTGACATTATGTCTTTTTTCCAATAATCATGCACAGGACTAAATAAATACGCATGTAAAAAAGTCAACATTAAAATACTTCCCAGAACACAATTTTAATGTTAGTTTTATAAACCATGTCAGGGCTAACTAGAATGTTCATCCATAACCATAGTAATTCTTTGTTAGTGTTTAATTATTCTTCATAGCATTATATGTAATTTTAAAGAATTGTATGATGCAAGTCTGTTACTGACAAAAGCATTTCACACAATAAGTCAGTTACTACCTCTGAAGTGCTTGAGCGTTCAGGATGTATGTGATGAGAGCATTGTTTTTTGGGATACATAGATTCAAGTAGACACAGACTTCTCAAGATGTCTGTTCCATTATCATGTTTTAATAGAAAATCAAAATTCTAGAAAAGATGCTAAGGTCAGCAGGTTCAAACTACAACAGTCTTTGATTCTCTAAGGCAGGATCATCAGCACATTAACCTTCATAGATAAAGGCTGCAATCCTAAACACGCCCACAAGGAAAGGAAGTACCACTGAGCACAGTGGGACCTAACTTCCAAGAAATTGTGTACAGGCTTTCTCTGACAGAACCAGAGTCACAAAAAATATTGGAAAAGGCAGAACCTGAAACATTGTTCAAGCTTGGTCATTGTATATTTCCTGCTTATTAATGATAATGTGTATAATTAATGTTGTATAATCATTACTTACTAACTGTTCCATTTATCAGTGTCAGTAATATTGTAATACCACTATACAATAAGTAGTTGACTGCTCAAAGTAATTTTACAACAGCATATTGACTAAATTTACCACCTGTTATTTGAGATGTAGAGGTAATGCTTCTTATTGCTTTGCTCTATTAAAGTTAAATTTTGATTAGTGGAACAGGGCAAGCTTGGTTTGAGTTTCTGAACTGGGAGATGCTTTCCTCAGAATGTCTCACCAAAGTCCCGCCACCATTAGACAACAGAAAATACTTTTCTATTCAAAAAGACCTTTGTAAATGGGTAGTTTGACTCCTTATATTTTTGACAAAATGTTATACCTCACTAGTAAAGCCTAATGGAAGATTATTCAGAAGATTATTAGCAGGTGTTCCTATTCTAGTATTTGTCAGAAATAAAATTGCATCAAAATTTTTTCGAAGGTTGAAAAACATGTGGTCATTCAGTTTATCAACTACAGAATCAAAGGGTGC